AAAGCATCAGCAACAGAATCTGATTCTCTTGTTCTTGACTACCTTTGGCAAATATACTTTGTCTAAGCGAGCACTCCGCAAAGCCAGAGCTGCAAATGCTGCAACAAGGTGTCCGTACATGTCTGCCTGACATGTGGCAGAACATTTTGTGCCTGTATAGGCCTTATCAGCCACCTGTGGATATACCATGGACAGCTCACAACTTGTTAGATGTCAAGGTTCTCTTCAAACACGATGGACAAATATCATACTTTGTCTACAAAAATATAGATACTGTACTAGATTCAGTCGTGGGATTCAAATACTGTAATAACCTGTTTTCTGCCCTAATGACTGGATGGGTGGGCATGGCCCGGATGTGTGACAGGCAACATTTGGCTTCCCTGTACATCCTGGGAGCAAAAACAGGCTGCGGGGAGGCTACACTGTACCCCCTGTGCCCCATTTTGGGCCTAGTAGGCCTCCCTGCACTTACCTGGGAACCAAAATGGGGTGTGTGGGGATTCCTGGAAGGGGCGGGATGGGGACAGGAGGGACCAGCCAGAAATTTAAAAACTGGTTCGGCAAACTGGTGGTGCAAACTGGTTGAATCCCACCACTGACTAGACTGCATGTGCTTCAAGTGTTTAGGACCTCTTTCTAACTGGCTATATTCCTCAACTATGCATCTGATTCTCAGACAAGCAAGGAAAATAAATTGGACTTCCTTTAATCTTAACATTTGCCATGCTGAGAAGAGTATCTGCCTGAATGCACAGATATTTAGGCAAATATTTAGTTTGGCAACACAATTGTATTTTTTTTTTTTTTGAATAATAATTAATTGAACTGAAATCAACTAAAATCAGCTATCATCCATGGTATAATATAAAAAAAAACCAATTCTTTTTATGCTGCCTCAGTGTAAGTACGATCTCCAAATCATGTGAAATAAAGATTTTACTTTATTTTGCTTTGGCCAGATTCCATTATATGTACTATGTTCATTTTCAGCTTTAGAAAGGTTGAGAAAAATTGGAAGATTTGCAGAGAAGGGCCATAAGGATGAGCAGAAGATTATAAATTAAGCCCATAAAAGCCCATTAAAGAAGGATTCAGTATGTTCATCCATGAAAAAATATAACAGAGGACTAATATTGTAGCACTTTTCGCATACCAGTAACCTCATACAGTCAAGACCTGTTCTCTCTTTCCATAATTCAAAATATACTGATAATAGATTTAAGATAAAGGAAGATTATTTTAGTTTGTTAGGAAGGAAAAAAAAACTTCATAATAGTAAGAGCAGTTCAACTACAGAATCAACATCTCAGCATAGACTTTTTTTTTAAATTTAATGCATTTAAGCAAAGGTTAGCTAGCACTCAATATTGGATTATTTAATTTGGACACTTAGCAAAAATTGAACTCAGTGACATGATTTCTTCCAAATTTAGAATTCTATGATATATACTGTTTAAGGTTTTTTTATAAACCATTAATCCAAAACTGAACCTGACCCATAACTAACTGATTGCCAATGCAGTTGCTTCAAGTGTAGATGTAATATGTCCATGGTTATTTGGCTTGACAGAAATAAATCTCAATTTATTAGGCATCATACAATCCATCATTGTTTTTAGACACAAGCTGAGGACATTTATAGCATTACACTTTATGGAGAAATAGATGAAACTTAACTTCCAAACTCTGGAGGATAGCCTTGGTGGCATCATATATATATTAGAGAGCATTAGGAGAAAGATATTACATTCTACAGTATAAGGTCTAAGACACAATAGTCAATACAATTGTCTTTTCAGCCTCTTTATAAAAAGGCATCCAATTTCCATCTCAGAGGAAAGATTTATTGTTGTAAGTGGTATCAAAAGCTGCTGAGAGATGTAGCAGAATCAATACAGTCACACGTTCTCTATATATTTCCCTGATTGAACATCTATGAGGGCAGTCACAGCTTTTTCAATCATAAAAGAGCCTTGAACCCAAGCTAGAATGGACCAAGACAATACTGATCTGAGAAGTTTCACCCCCTCCTCCAGGTGTGGGTGTACTATAATATTTCAAAGTTAGCAGTATTATTCTATCACACAACTATTCATTCACCCATCATTCCCTTGAGCTACCAAAACAAAAGTCAAGATGGCCAAGTAATGAAAGAATGAATCCTTAAGCAGTTTAAAAGCTTCATTAACTTCTTTGTTAATGGGCTACTTGAGGGACCCAATGTAGCTGCTAAATAAACACAATGATATTATTTCTTGATGTTCAGTTAGCCTTATGACAGATGTTCAAAACCTGAGTTCTAGCTTTTTCCTGGAAGGCTTAATTCTATAGACTTCTCCAAAAACTAGGAACGGTATTGAAGAAGAATTTATGAATGGTTTATTCAACCAAATATGTTTCAAAAAGACTGAACTGATCTAGTAAACTGAATAAGACTATATCTATACTTGGTTTAGAAGCATTTGTATTTTGACATATTTGTAGTATTATGCTACAATTTCCTATTCTAATAATACGTCTATATTATTTTTGCAAAATGCAAATGTTCTAGAGAAAAATATTGTTGACTCTTGAAAAATTTCAAAGTTGAAGAAGGAGAGCAATAAAAATCAAGTAAACTACAAAGTGAAACTGAAAGAATAACAAAGAAGTTAATGATCTGTGCCTTGGAACATACTGGTAGCCAAACCATCATTTGGTTCACTTGACATTGTAACAGAGGTTAATGTAAAAATGACATTTGAAAAAGAAAGAGACATGTAAGAAATTGTATTTCACGAAGTGTTCAATCATCAGTTATTACCATTGTATGTTTGGAAAATCTGTCTTTCTGAACAGGTCCCTGAATTTTTTTTAAAAAAAACCCATACATTTAGAACCTTGCAGAATATTTACAAAACCTTCTGTCAAAATTGTAAATTATTTAGATAATTTATCTTCTCTAGATCCATCAAAGTATTATCTAGCATTTTAAATAAAACCTCAAACATAAGCAATATTCAGTTATTAAACTCATAGGGAACAGTTAAAGTATCTGTTAAGACAGGGGTGTAAAACTCAATTACAATTGAGGGCCACATCAGGGTTGTGGTTAACTTTGGCGGGCTGGGTAGGCATGGCCAACTGGTTGGGCATGGCCAACTTGATGCCTCTCCCCAAACTGCTGCAGGTTTCCTCTTTGCATTGGGTAGACTCGGTTGAAGCTACGTTGGCCTTATCTTTCCTCTTCGCACTGAGTAGACCAGGCCGAAGCCACACTGGCCCAATCTTTCCTCTTCACATTGGATAGCCAAGGACAGACCCATGTAGGCTGGATCCAACCACACCTTGAGTTTGACACCCCTGTGTTAAAATATAGAATGAAATTTAGTCACTGATGCAATTTATATTATTAAAATTAGCATGGAATCATTTTCATGAATGAATATTTCCCTGGATTTAAAGCAAAGTCTGAAAATTATTTTCTGTCACATATTAACAAGTCTGTTCTCCAGAAGAGGGATTTTGGTCAGCCATGTTGATTCTTTCTTACAGGGTGTGTGAAGTTTTGATTGCCTAGAGAAATAATTTGAAAGTCACAGCCAGTAGTGGGATTTAATTTTTTTTTTTACTACTGGTTCTGTGGGTGTGGCTTGGTGGGCATGGCAGGGGATGGATACTGAAAAATCCCATTCCCTGCCCAGCACACTAACCTGATTTCCAGCTCTGTTCTCCTGTGCAGGGCAACCAAAGAAGACCCAGTCAATGGGACTTGGGAGGCAGAGAATAGATGGGAGCGGGGCCAGTCAGAGGTGATATTTCGAATTACTCAAAATTTCTGCTACCAGTTCTCCGAACTACTCAAAATTTCTGCTACCGGTTCTCCAGAACTGGTCAGAACCTGCTAAATACCCACTCTGGTCACAGCTATACTTCCTTTTCCTGAAAACAGCCAAGGGCTAAAAGATTTTCTTTCCAAATGCTCTTGTCAGGATTGTCTATAGATAAAGATTTCTTTCTGCAACATTTTCAGTGCAAATAGAAGAAAAGTACTATAATTTTCTTCCCAGCACTTAATTACTCTATTAAATCATATTCATGAGAAATGCTTCCTAATTCTGTCACATTTACCTTCAGCCTTTCAGAAAGATGACTGTCTTTAGATGAAGCTCTCCACAGCAAAAAATTCATGCAGGTGCTTGCTTGCTTGCTTTCCTTTTTTTTTTCAATCAGCTGCTACACATATCTGTTAATTCTACAGGGGAAACAATAAAAATAAACACAGTAAAAGACAAGGAGTGAAGAAAAGATGTACAGCTGACAACAAAGAGAACAATCTATTGATATAGAAGACCAAGTATTTTAAAAACAGAATGCATTTCATTCTTTTCACAGTAACAAAGGTTCCTGCATGTCATTAAAAATATCTCCATTATATAACAGGATCTCTGGGACTAACAGAGTGAAGAAATGAACACATTAATCATAATATTCAATGGTTTATGCTACATCTAAAAAGGTAGTAGCAAGACAAAATAACAGCAACAACTACAATATTTTTAGTTCTTTCGATCTGTATTGTTTTTGTCAATTTTGGGAATTCTGGAATTAAAATTCAAGTGATCTCCAGACCTATATTATTTCCATACCCTTTTTTGGCTGTTACAATGGCTGTACCTCTGTTATATGTTTATACTCAATATAAAAGCAATAAAAAGAATTTAACTTTTAAATAACAAGATATTTAAACCCTGTCTTTAGTTGTATTTTTAGACTGATCTCAGTAAGACTTATGTAAAGTTGTTTCCATCAATATATATATATATTCTCTTAAGTTTTCGTGGGTACTTGCATGTATAGCATTCAGCTTTGTTCAGGTATTTTCCCACGTCATTGTAGTTGTGCTTTTAAAGTTGTAGCAACGTTTCGGCAGAATCTCATCTGCCATCATCAGGCTTCTGGTTCACAGACGGACACAACCAGAAGCCTGATGATGGCAGATGAGATTCTGCTGAAACGTTGCTACAACTTTAAAAGCACAACTACAATGACGTGGGAAAATACCTGAACAAAGCTGAATGCCATATATTTATATTTACATTTACATTTATATTTATATTTATATTTATATTTATATTTATCTCAAAACATGCTCTACTGTATAATGTCAGCCAAGTCCATATCTCTATATGCCTATCCAGGATAATCTTGGGTGGCAGTATATCTTGCAGTCCTGTGCTATGCTTTCTTTCTTCTTCTGTTTTTCAAATTCATAGGATCAGCACCAACTTTTTCTAAGCTTGATTTTGGCTTGTAACACTGTCTTGCTATGATGTTGTTAGGAATGTAGGTCACCTAACAGCTATTTGGGTTGGAAATATATAAACCAGGATAGATATTTTAATACTGTCTCTTTAAGAAAATGCAAAACTGTAATTAGGTGTGGTTTCTCAAACGGCCATAAGATGGAGCCAGAAACCTGGATTGTCTTAGTCTTAGTCTCAGAAGAGAGTGTATCTCAGTGAGTTTCTGTTTTCCTTCTGTTGGAGAGTATTGCTGTTCCTCCATTTTTCCTCATTATTGACTGATATTCTTGGATTTGATGTAAATCTGATACTGAACTGTTTTTGACACTGAACTTTGTTATTGGATTATCCCTGGACTGAAAACTGTCTGATCTTACCTGTGAATGACTTTGGACTGCTTGTTTGAACTTTGCTTAAAAGTTTCTGGAAGTAAAAACCTACATTTACTGTACAGTGTATCTATGTGCTGTGTGTGTATTATTCAAACACTTCTCTCAAATATGTCTCCCTGTATGCACTCATTCTTCTAACGGGGAATTACCTCAACAGATGTCATACTAAACATATTTAGAATAGAATAGAATAGAATAGAATAGAATAGAATAGAATAGAATTCTTTATTGGCCAAGTGTGATTGGACACAAAGACTGTGTCTTTGGTGCATATGCTTTCAAGTGTACATAAAGAAAAAATAAAATACATTCATCAAGAATCGTAAGATACAACACTTAGTGATAGTCATAGGTTACTATAAGCAATCAAATCATACATAGATTACTAATATGCAATCAAAACATACTAGGAAAACAAATAAAAATATAAATTGTAAAGATACCAGCAACATGGTTATAGACATAAGTGAGAAGAGATCGGTAATAGGAAGGATGAGAAGAAGAAGAATAATTCAATCTTACTAAGTAATTTGACAGTGTTATCGGAGTTAGTTGTTTAGCAGAGTGATGGCATTCGGGGAAAAACTGTCCTTATGTCTAGATGTTCTGGTGTGCAGTGCCCTATAGCATTGTTTTGAGGGTAGAAGTTGAAACAATTTATGTCCAGGGGTCCGTAGATATTTTCACAGTCCTCTTTTTGACTCGTGCTGTATACAGGTCCTCAATGGAAGGCAGATTGGTAGCAATTGTTTTTCTGCAGTTCTAATTATGTGTTGAAGTCTGTGTCTGTCTTGTTTGGTTACTGTTCTGACCCAACCTGGTTCCAAGAGAGTCAACACCACACAAAGGCAGCAGCCCCCACCTTTTAAGGTTTCATCTATGAATTCTGTTTCTTCACAGATAAAAGGCTGCTTCCAACTAATTAGCTCTGGCAAGAAAGAGCCTTGCCAAGCTGTTTTTCAAGGCTGCCAAAAACCCACAGATAAGAAATAATTTACAAGAGTTTTCAAATGCTAACTATAATGTCCACGAGACTGAGTTTCAGTGTCTTTGCCTTCTGCAAAGAACGCTTCTTCAAACATGGTTTTTATACACTTGAGGGAGGAACCATTACCTTGCAGCCTTACTCTTGAGTTGTTCATACTGCTGTAACTGATCTCTCATATGAGTAATCCTCAGGAACCTTCTCATCACTGCTGCCAGCCCTCACAATCTCTGAAGGCAGCAGTCCACTCCCTAATAGTTCTGGCCCCACATCTGAGTCCACGCTTTCCTCCACTGTCCACACCTACTACCAGCTAACCACAACAGTTGCAGAGCCAAACCAGACAGTTATAGAGGTGCAGATGACTGACTCAATAATTATTCTGTAGAACTGAATCAGCAGTTCTTTGGGCAATTTGAATTTTCTGAGTTGGTGCAGGAAAATATTCTTTGTTGTGCCTTTTTGATAACATTTTTGATATTAGGTGTCCATTTTAAGTCCTGAGATATCATAGAACCTAGAAACCTGAAGGTCTTTACTGTTGATACTGTGTTGTCTAGTATTGTAATAGGTGGTAGTATGGGAGGTTTCTTCTAAAATCTACCACCATTTCTACAGTTTTGAGTGTATTTAGTTCAAGATTGTTCTGGTTGCATCACAAGGCTAGTTGTTCAACCTCCTGTCTCTATGCGGATTCATCATTGTCTCAAATGAGACCAATCACTGTTGTACATTGTTACCTGAGGATTCTTGTTGTTGTTATTTACTGTTTTCACTGTCAGAAAACTTGTAGGAGTGACTCCAAAATGAGACTTGTTCAAACTAAGGCATTTTCACAAGACAACTTTTTCATTATTTCCATTTTTGATTCAATACTGCATTGATATGGTCTTTTAATATGTACTTCTGATTCAACTATGGTACATCCAATAACACTTCCCTCCTTGGGCCGCCATGACCATCGGGGTACCAATCAAGGTGCTGCATGAGGCCGAGGGGCACATCGTCACCTGTGAGACCAGCATGGACAAGGTCTATCGTGGGAAGCTCATCAAGGCCAAGGACAACATGAACTGCCAGATGTCCAACATCACTGTGACCTACCACGATGGGTGCATGGCGCAGCTGGAGCAGGTCTACATCCACGGCAGCAAGATCCGCTTCCTGATCCTGCCCGACATGCTGAAGAACACGCCGATGCTGAAGAGCATGAAGAACAAGAACCAGGGCTCGGGCGCCAGACACGGCAAAGCTGCCATCCTCAAGGCACAGGTGGCTACAAGAGGAAGGGGCCAAGGAATGGGATGTGGCAACATATTCCAGAAGCGGTGGTAACTTGGGATCAACCCCTGCTTTGCTGAAGACAAAAGTGTGCTGTTTATATTTGTGTGTAGTTTAATAAATATGTTTCTTACAAAATAGGAAAAAAATATGTACTTCTGATTCAACTATGGTACATCCAATAACACTTCAAGCAACTTTTTTTTAATGTGGTGATATTTTGGAGATATCTGAGGAACTTTCCATTGGTGGAGCTTCTTGGTAGGACTCCTGGTAACAGGAATTAACATAATTTCTACATCCATAGAATTTGTACTAAATACTCTATATACTTTCATTCATGTGTACTAGCTATATACTTTTATAAATGTCAACCCCATTAGGTATACCAGATCATAAAATATACTTCACTTCTTCATGAAGAGCCAAAGAACAAATAGTTGTCCATGCCATATGTATTCTGTGAAGGGTTTTGTCTTTAGTCAAGCATGATTAAAAAACAAAAATGATATAGACTTGCTGGAAAAATATTATAAATCCAAAGAAATCAAAGTTTTTGAGTGTATCTGCCTGTTTCAGTTGTTCTTAATGTTGTTGGATTTTATTAGTTTCATTATACCTATTGTCAAAATTTTACCTAAAATCCATGCACCAATTTAGCCAATATTTTCCATATATGAGACTAAAGGTATATGGATTGGATTGTAGCTAGTTTAAATTCAGAAAGTGTAACTTAATTGATCCGTGGTTATTTTGTTTTTCAAAAACACATTGAATCCATTCCAGGCAAGTTATGACATAAAAGGAATCTAATGTAAAAAGAATTAATTTAAAGATTAGGTGAAAATGTATAATTTTTGAGAAAATAGATACAGATTTATCTTTGTGAGGGAATGTTATGGCCCAGGGAAGAAAGAAAACATATTTAAACCTTTTCTTTCCACCAGGGAGAGCAAGAAAAAAAAAATCAATGTACTTTTGTGAAATGTATTTTGCAAAACACTAGCAAGTTAAATAAATGGACCATGAGTACTCTTATGGTTTATATACCCAAAAAGGAAACACCTTCAGACTTTCTGCTTTTAAATAAACTCTTGTCCTTTTTACGGGTTATACAAAATTTTGCTGCACAAGAGGAATTCAGCAATTACTTCACTACTTACAGATTCATAAATGTCAGATGAATCTAATTCATAGATACCTGGATCATATTTCTTGATGAAGCCTCCACCTGCCTTTCTTGCAGCTAAGGTATGAAATACCCAGTTAGCTAGTTGGTGGATCTGAGCAAAATTATCCAAAGAGGAACAGGTGAAACTTATTGCTTGAGAAAAGATTAGTTCGTATTGATCCTTTGGCAGATCCTTGAATGCTAAAAATGTTTTCATCTATGATATTGAGCTCTTAAGGGGACAGAAGCAAAAGATATATTGTAGAGATATAGAATTATTAAGCTTCAAAAGTTGGATTATTCATTACTCATTGAATTGATATCATGGGTGTATTATAGTTGTTTTTAACAGTGGATAATTACATAACAATTGGTGATGATTTCCAATAGCCATCACCATCCTGTTTACAGTCAGACATCCATATTAATGCATGGATGAGGATTTCTGGTGAAGGCTTATGTAACTAAATGCATCTTTTTTTAAAAAAACAGGGGGTGGCTATTTATATAAATAAGGGAGGAGGATGCATCCCTCATTGGAAGCAGGTGGCTAACAGAGTTAATATCCCTGATTAAATATAAAAGAAATTAAATGAAATTTGTGGGGAGAATTTTTAGACAAAAGCTGCATCGTTCTAAAAGATCAAACTTGATGACTTTCAGATGAACATGTTCAGGGCTTGAATATAGTGGTAAACTTCAACCAGACAGAACTTCCTCCTGATGAAAAAGGCTAGATTATTGAAATAACCCTATTTTCTTTGAAACCACTCATATTTTTTTTAAGTTGAAAAGAATAAACAAACTGGCATCTGCCAAATCATACATCAGAATCAAATCAGTGTCATGGTAATTAAGGTTCATGAAATGTCTAAGTATTTTGATCC